AAGCTAATATAAAAGAAAAAGAGAGAAAAGATATGTATGTACTGAAGATGAGTTGAATAGAGCACAACACATAGGGAAAAAGAGTTCTGTCATTTCATTAATATTGAACATTGAGTTTACAAAAGAGAGATGTCTATCATTACAAGAAGATATGAAATAGAAGAATTCGAAGGAGCCCTAGCTAGACGCCTCAGTACCAACAGCATCCTGGTCGTGCCGACTCGCCTCCTCGGCCCCATCAGCCGCCTCACCTTCATGAGGTGGGGAATCAAGGTGAATGACTGAATCGTTCGGCTGGGGTTCAGCGTCAGCAGTGGCTATAGAAGGAACCACGGTTGACGATTGGGGAGCGGTCAGTGGCAGAGCGGTAGGAGGAGCTGTGATGATCCTTGAGGATGCGATGTCCTGGCACTCATCAAATATACGCTCCGCTTCGGTAGGTTCTGGGTCGACATAGACCCCCAGAAGTTCGATCCCCAGATCCTTGTCTACCTCATCCGGAGTGGAGCTGGTCTGTCCCTCATCCGGAACCCGGTCGGCGAAACCTTCCCGGAATCCTTGAGCATACCTAAGAGCACCGACCCTTGAGAACCGGGCGTGAAGGGCCAGCATCCCACCACCCACTCTGCTGATCGCGTCGATCAGAGCGGTACGCTCGTCCAGAGCTCTTCTTTCAAAGGCCATCCGAGCAGATTGTTCATCAGCTAGAAGGCGCTGGAGTTCTGCCTTCTCTTCTCTAATTGATTCCCGCTCGGTCTGCCAGACGCTCTTCTCAAGCTGGAGGGCGTCCTTCTCATCCTGAAGGGAATCATTCTCCTTCTTCAGGACATCTCTCTCTTGCTCGGTTTTGTTAAGCCGAACCAGCACCTCGGTATTCTTCATGGCAAGGAGGTCGTTTTCTTTATTAGCCACCTCCAGGCTGTCAGAATACTTACGGGCCCTGGCGTTCCCCATCTCCACCTGCTTCTGCATGGCCATCATCCCGAACAATGTCTGCATAGGTGCACATTAAAAACGGTTAAACCAATAGTCAGAACGGGCGAAGGCAAGACCAAGTAATATGAGAGAATTCATGAGTTAGAAAATAAAAGTCACCTCCATAGCAGATTGGGGAAAGCGACTGAACACGTCCTTCTGGGAAAGGCCCTTTGCCGCCTCAAGGTCCTTCGGAGTCCACATGCTCCTGTAGTAGGCCATAGCGGTCTGGCCATCCTTCAGCATGGTCTCGTTCGGTTTCACGAACGTCCCATCCGTTCGGGTGTACCGAGGGGCCCATGGCGGTAAGCTGGGGATAGAAGGGGGGCCTGAAGCAGAAGCAGAGCCACCAGCTGCAGGAGGCCCAGAGGGAGAAGGAGCTCTGATCGCTCGGTGCAAGAGAGTACCCGGCCCAGAGACCCGGGTCCTTCTAATGAGAGGCTCCTCCTCAGGATCGATTTCACTGTCAGGATGAGGCCTTTTGCCTCGTTCTTTGTCCCGACCGCCCCCCGCAGCAGCAGGAGCTATGGTAGCTGGGGAGGGCGCGTTCTGGTTGGCAGCAGGGGCGCTGGCAACAGGGTTAGTAGCCACTGCGCTCGGGACAGTGTCAGATATGGTGGCTGAAGAAGAAGCTGACGCTGGAGAGGAGGTCGCCCCAGCAGCAGGAGTGGCTGGGGGAGTATTTTTCCTCCTGCCAAAAGAGGGAATCTGAAGTCTGCTCATGTTGTAGCCGAGTGATGAGAGCGCTAAGAGGTTGTCTGAAGTGAGGAGATCTGAGCAGGAAGGAATATCGTTCAGAACGTATCTCTTCAAGTAGTTACTCCTATCCCTGCAAACACTATAGCTCAAGTCATCACAAGGTATTCCCAAGGAGCGGCATAAGTAAGTGCAAAAACGAGGAACGCATGTTTCACAGGGGCAGTCATGTTTATGGGATTTGAATTTTTTATAGGAGGAGACAGAGCAGACACTAAAGGCGCTCGGGATTGGGTAACCCTCTGCAGCCGGCGAAGACCAAGCCCCACTAATGCCCACTATGCTATCCCTCCAACCCTTTTCAGATTTTATTGTGTCAGTACATATGGACATCTTCTCGAACGGGTAGAGGTGGTAGAAGGGCTCGTTAGTACGGATCTTACTCACCTTATAGCACAGAAGGAGGTCTATGAGGTCGAGGTCCAGATTTCTGTCACGCATCAACAAGAGCATAACAGATATGATTCTAAAGAAGTTGGGGTTGACCTGCAGAGGGGATATCCCCAATCTATTGAAGACATAACTAAAGAAAGGGTGCAGAGGGAACCTAACAACATTCAATTGAAGGTTTGTGAATAAGACTTCGCCAGGCAGGAGGCCGGCGCCGGTCGTAATATTAATGTCTTGGGGGCAAACCCTAACTTCGATGTTGTCAGGAAGTCTAAGTCTCATACGAAGAACATCCAGATCTACAACCATGGTGGAAGTGATAGAAGAATCTACAAGAGGGTAAATGGAAGCCTGCCGAAAGTAAAAAGAACGAAACTAACCTCGGAGGACTGCAAGATCGCTGGAAGAATGACTCTTGAAGGATTTCACCAGGGAAAGCTTAGCACTGTTCTAGAAAAGAGAGAGACTTGGCTGATGATGGAGACGGTAAAGGGAAGTGAAGTGGAATTCTAGAGCATTATAAAGGCGAGGGGGCCCGAGGGCCGAAGCGTCGGGAAGGCGAGAAATCCCTCGAGCCCCGGAACATTGATGCTGGATCTGACCGTCCGCTCCCCCACGTGGTTATCTCGAGCCGTCAACATCATGATGAGACGCCATCAATAATTACCCCTTATTAAATAAGGGGCAATTATGGGGGCAGTTGAGGAGGCCCCGGATGACATGGGCCAGATCCGACTCGCAAACATAGCATTCAGTCCGTACAGCTGGGCCAGCCCATAGAAGGACACTGCCATATGGGCCGAACGAGAGTAAGCCCATCAAAGGTGACCAAGGCTTACGAAGGAATAGGCCCAGATCCAGCAATTAGTAAATATCTTGTAAATATCTTGTAAATATCTATAAATAGGAGATGGAATGAAATGGAGGGGGATCTTTTTTGGGTTGAGGTGTAAGAATTCTAGAGAGAGAAAGAGGAGAAGGAATTTCTTGCATCTTCAACGGTCTTTATGTATACAAGTTTTTAAATTATAATTTAATTCACATATATATATTTTTATACATAGACTTCTCGTGACACTAGGACTTAACTATTAAAATATATCAAACTCATTTAATTTTAACTCTAGCTATATTAGATATACCAAATTAATTTAGTTTTAACTCTACGTATATTATATATATGTACCAAACTAATTTAGTCACAAGTATTTTATTTTTATTAAACTGATTTTTTTTTTTTTTTTTTTTTTTTTGTTTTTCTATGACTAAAAGTATATATATTAACTTCAACCTTCTATCCTCAAGAATTTTAGGATCAAATTTTTTTATTAATTAAAATTGTATCTATAATCACATACACCTAATTATTAAACATCAAAAGACAGATACTATAATGTCCATTAATTTATCTTTGAACTTAAATTTTAATTTTGTTCATAATTCTGGAGATATGATAGTATATCAAAAGAGTACAAAGTAATCTTACAATTAAAATGGTAGTTTTGGGAACTACAATCACTTTCTTTTCACTTTCATTCTTTTTAAATTAACAAAATTTATTGCTAACCAAATACATGATAGAAATTTGATTTTGATTTTCTTTTTCTTTCCTTTACTTTCTTTCACTTTCCATCAAAAGTTTCTACCTAACCAAACAGGCCCTAAGGGAATTTAAACCTTTAAATTCCTTTTACTTTCAAGATGCAACATCCTAAAATATATATATACATATAAAATAATATGTATATATATTTTGTATTAAAATAATTTTAATATTTTTTTTAATGTATAGTAAATTAGTAGTAATATAACTAATCCAATTAATATTTATATTTTTCTCTCTTCTTTTTCATATCTAGATTTACAATTTTTTTCTAGATATGTTAATAAGCAAAAGAAAAAAATTGCAAATAAAATAAACAGTTCTATAATAAAAGTTATAATGAAAAAATATACTATCTTAAAAAATGAAAATTAGTTGTAAGATCATAAAGCCTCCCCCAATATCTCGCGTGTCAATGCTTGGTACACAGAGGCCTGAGGGTGTGGAAAATAGTACTCAGAGAATAGTGAGTGAATAAAAAATAAGTGGTGGGAGAGAAAAAGAGGCATAGAAGATTGGAGAAAATATAGGAAATGAAAAATATCTTTTAATAAATTGATATTAAAAAACTTATGTGGAGCCTATTTTAAAGAATATTTTTTCAGTTTAGAAAAATTTGTGGAACTTACTAATGAGGAATTTTTCAACTGGAAAACTTGGGTGTGTGGGCCACATGCTTAAGTCACCTTGTCGATAATTCACCACTAACACCAATACTAAAAGGAGTAATGTGTGTGTGTGGGGGACACTCAGATACCTTCCAATAACGTAAATATATTATGAAAATTATAAACAGGTGTAAAATATAAGAATAATAACAGGGGGTCGAATAATTAATTTCAAATAAGTATAAAATTTGATGTACTTTTGTTCATTTCATTTACTTAAATAATTTATACAAAATAATTATTTAATACGTAATAAGAATGATTAACTGAGATCTTTGCAATTATTCCCTCTTTAGACTTGTAATTCACCCCATCCAACAATACAAGTAACAAATAAATCATATATAAAATAGTGAATAATAAATAAGAGGTGCAAAGCAACAATATCTCTATAGATAGACCATGAGAAGCTTGCATAATCCATTGGGATCAAGTCAAAAAGGGTAGATTTAAGAATATTTAGATAAAAGTTGCAGCCGTTTATATATGTCTTGTAAGTAGATAGATTTTGAAAATTAGTGTACAAAGCAAATAATATTTAAATAAAAAATCATTAACAATTTTTAAGAGTACAAATAATAAAATCAGACAATTTTATTGAATTCGGAATAGAGAAAATCAATTCACACACCAAAGAAGACTAAACTGAAGAAAACGAGAGAAAAACATTTCACCCCTCTCGCTCTCTTTCTCTCTCTTCGGACCAGAGAGAGAACTGCTAATTCGCGAAAGACATGGGCGATTCGCTTCAATGGTGGTCAGCATAGATTCTCCGGTAGCCCCATCAGCATCTTCGTCCGTGTAAGTCGTTCCCTTACTCTCAAAAACTATCTTGTTTATCGTATCTCTCTCTCTCTCTCTCATTTTATTTATCACTGTTGTTTCGCACAGTTCATTTCTTGTGCTCAGCTATTAGACACACATATACGTCTATATCATTTATATACATAGGTGTATTATGTGTTATATTTTGAATCCGTTCGAAACCCTAGCTTCAATCAACGATATCCAAACTCACCGGCTTCAAAGTCTACGTTTATCTTTCGGTAAGAGGCAAATTATGACTGAGTTTCATTCTCAGACGTTAAATTGAATCATTGCAATCGTTTTTGTCGTTCAATTTTTCTTCACGCAGTTAGCTATTAGAAATGTGTAATTCGACTTTGATTTAGTAAAATTTCGGCTTGGATTAGTTAGTATATGCTTAAAAACCGAGTAATTCTACTTGACTGAGTAAAATTTTGGCTTAAAATCAGTTAATTTATGCTTAAGAGAAGTCTCCCATTGGTTTATCTTCAGTTGTGTTTGGACTGTTGGCACAGTCTAGAGGTGGTTGTCTCTTGACAAATGAAAGCTGATTGTCTCAGGGTTAATTAGTTCCTGTATAGGAAAGGGCTATAGTTAGTATACATGCCCTTAAAAAAAGCTAGCCTAGTGCACGAGGCTACTGCCACTGCGAGGTCTGAGGAGAGTCAATTTCTGCAGCCATACCTTCGCATGCGGAAAGGCTGTTTCCTGTTCCCGTAGACTTAGTTTACAATAGAGTAATGCACGAAGCCCACCCTCAATTAATATAAGTGCAGTTAAATTTGTGAATTGTTGATAGAAGTGCTCATTAGGTGAGACTTTATTGAGGAGTTGATTAAAAATTGGATTTATATTTGATGCGCTGACAGAGTGATGACTAGTTGTGTTGGATGATAAAAGGAGAGTGAATGTGCCCTTCAAAACTATGTTTCTTATTGGTTTTTTTTTATTCAAGTTCTTCTCCTGCTTGATACAGGTATGTCTGAACTTTCCTTCTTCAACCTAGAAAAATCTCTATCAACCGGGCCGGGGTTTCCATTCCACAAGAATAAGAAGATGCATAATAAAAGAACCATAGTCTACCAGAGATGACTTTCGTGATTTCATTTTAAGATCTAAAGAAAAAATGAGATTTATCAAGTGATAATAGGAAGACTCGAAGTTGCATCTCCTAATACTATTTTGCTATTTCCCTTTCTGTGTTAAATTGGCAGTTCCATGATATTTGAGTAGAACATTCTGCTTCCACTATGAGCTCTTAAAGCCCCCATATTTTTCATTAAAAAAGGGGGGAATTCCACCACAATGGAGATGATGGTGATGCTGACGTTGAGGGTGGTGCCGTTGGAAGAAGAGATTCGAAAAAGACTTATGTTGTTGTAGTTTCTTCCGCTGTTTCCTTTGCAAAAGAGGCTGGAGGACTAGATGTTGAAGAATAAAGATTCTAGAAGATCAAACTAAGCTTAGCGGCATTGAAACCAATGAAATAAGCTGGACAATTTGTTCACCTCACAGTAATCTAATAGCAGAAACCAATTACTTGTGCGTCATGTTAAAGTTGAAAGTTTGATCTGAAATGGGAATAATACACGGAGAAATAAAGTTCTTGTTTGAACAGTTACATCATGGCACCATCAAGTAAAGGAGGTGCAAGACAGCGATGATTTTAAGCTTTGGAATGGTACTACTTGATACTTGATGGTAATAATTACATGAGAAAAAACGCAGGGAACTACTTCATTGGACGCATCACTGCAGATGACAAACAGAAGAGAGGTGAAGAAGTATCAGCATGAGGAGTGAGTAGTTTCACAACATGCAATTCAGGACGGTTGCACAATGATCTTGTGTTAGACAAAAAGTGAAGTCCAATAAAGAAGATTATTTTTCATTGAAAATATTGGTCCATTGGAGTCTGGATTACAAGGACTTGTTGTTAGGTTTGGAAGTTTAAATCACCGTGTATGATAAAGGATCCTTCTTAAATTTCAGTTGCAGGATGGTTTGTGATGGAGTTGTTATTTAGGATTTATTATCTACTCTTGACAATTTATAAATTTCATCGCTAATTTAGGTCCTCTAGGACGTTTTGATTAGTTCTAATATGTTTGTGGATTTTTAAAATTGATATTACTTTCATTAAACTTCTTAAGGAATTATAATGGAATCCATTTGTGAGATGGCTAAAAAAAAGTTGGTGTCTTGTACGCTGATTAGGTTATGAATACAATTCTGTTTTATGGTGTGCTAGGATGTATATAGTAATGAAATATTCGCTTTCTCCCCTTGCTACCTGCATCTAACTTTCTTCCCTCGTATACTCCGAGAATCGGATGTGTTAGCAGAAGTAGGGCTCATTTAAGTTTTTTATGTGCTTGCTTGAATGATTTTTTCTGCTAAGGTGGATTTTCTTGATGGTGATGCTCGTATGTGTTAGTTGTTAGACTTGACTGGATTTATCATTGTAGTGAATTGCTTGATCTATGATCAAAATCACAAGCTTCTACTACATACTTTCTAGATTTTTTGTTTTGATCCCTATTCATGTAGATAAGTTGTTATTAATTGGAGGTAGTCAACCAATTTAGGTTTTTCCTTACACTACACCTCTTTTGGTGGATTGATTATATATTAGTCATAAATATGTTTTTTGATTATCTAGTGCTCTTGTTTCAAACAACATAGAAGGAAGCTAAAGGATGGGGGTAATTCGCGATTTTTAAAATTTCGAAGCAATAAATTATGTGCAGACTGTAGATATGATATTTATTTTACGAGTCTTGAACTATGTAAATTTTTATTAGTCTTGGATTATGTAGTTTTCTATTTTAATTTTAATTGGATTTTGGCTATGACAAATCTAGACATTTGTTTGTACCCTGGTCACTTTTGGGTGCTGATTCTGCTGAAGTAGATTTTAATTTTAAACACACAGTCTGCATGGGTCAAACCCACCAGGATGGGGCTGTGCGTCTTTTGGAAAACTATAATTCTAAAGAAAAATCATAAATAAAGGTTTTGTTAGAAGATATAAAACCTTGGGCCATTTGTAAAATGCAGAATTGAGATAAAATGGAAGGTTTGACCAGGGAAGGTTAAAAAAGAGTTGGGTGTAATTTATTCATGTCCTTGTAGTTAGTCGTGCCTATAATTTTAAATTACCATATATGCTGGACCTCATCACATTCAATTTGTGCTTCTAATCCTTGTTTATGCAAATAGGCACATGTGATACTGCTGTATGTGATAAGCACCTTTAGCTTCTTCAGAAATTCAATGAAATTATACTTGTGCTCTCTTCAATTATTATTCAATACTTTGGCTCATTCATTTCTGTTTGTAACATATTTTCTGCTCTAAGATTGCATCTTATTGAGGTATCTGATTTCTACTCTCTCACTTGGATTATCTTCAGTCCATGACTCATAAATATGAAGGTCAAGAAGCTATTTAGTCAAAATCATCAAGTTTTGTGGTTTTGAATTGTTATTAAACATCTTCTCGCACCATGTTGTTGGACGTCCTCAATGTTTATTTATTTATTATTTTTTTTATTGACTCGTCTCAGGTTCTTGACTTTGGCTTATTTTTTCTTTTTATAATAATGATATGCAAACAGAAAACAAGAAGTTGCCAAGGTATAGCAATGCTTCTTGCTTGTGCTGTGATCTGTAACTGGTTGAAAAATTCTCATTTTGTGTTATAACAATCATGATCTCACATTGATATACCTTGAAACCAAAGTGAGTTTAAATGCTGTTAAAATAAATTGGGTTGTACAAATGCAGTTTTGATTCAGGATTGTTTTAAAAAAATGTATAATAAGTTCCACAAATCCTTGCCAATATATTGTATGACCAATTGAAAGTTGTTTTATTTTAACAATTTTATTATCTTGAATTACCTTTATCCTTAGAAAAAGTCCATGCCCGGTCTTGGCCATTCCAATGTGGGGGTGTTGGGGAGGGTCTACTGGGTTGAGATCAAGGTTTGGCAAAGGAAGCATGAAGTCAAATGTCTTCTGGATATTTCTATGCATGGATATTGCTCGGGCCTCAGGGAGAGCGGGACCCTTTTACCTTCCGGTACTTCACCGAGGGTCAATAATAGAAGTTCAATTTGTTGAATTGCTGAATATGCATATTCTGAGATGTTCCTTTGCAGCTAGCTGATCAAGTCTTATGATAGACACTGTTTGACTGCAAATATGAAAGCCTTTAATCAGCTTTCTGAATGCATGTTGAGGTTTTTTTTATTTTTTATTTATTTATTTATTTTTTAAATTATTCAGAGTAAGTATAACAAATTTCATCTCTCTTTTTTTATTTATTTATTTTTACCGACACTATATAATCAGCAGATATCCTTGCTTAACAGGAGAGAGTAGTTGTGAGGATTTCGTGTTTTTAAACTTGTTTATGACTAGTAGTGCTTTCCTTCAGTGAGAAATTTGGATTTCCACCAAACCATTGATGTATACAGTGAAAATGCTCCCTTAGCATTTATATTCTGAGTGAGATACATAATCCATTGCTTGGTAGTTGGTACAATGGTAAAAGCTCAAGCTGATAAGTGTGATTGATTCTCAGAGTAACCACTTGTTAGGAAATAATGGCAAATGGTTAGGTTTGTATCTAGTCTTGCCGTCCTAGCTCCCTGCCTAGTCTTGTCATGCTTGATTAATACACACGACCCATTACTAAAAAAATAAATAATTATATATATATATATAATTAAAGAGATATGTAACCAAATATATTGAGATCGTAGCTGCATTCTTCTTGGTATCTGTAGTGGTGCTGTTCAGTGTTTGTGTTACCAAATCTTCCGTGTGTTGCCAAAGTCAGATTAGTTTCTTTGGCCTCTTTAGTTTTAAATCCGTGACTTTTTTGCCCTTAGCTTGCACATATGTTCACTGAGATTTAGCATGTTGAATAACGAGATTACAGTTAAATGTAAAAAGAATTCACAAGGTAGTAAATAAATTGGTCAAAAAGGCTGCATGGGTATTTCTTGAATCGAGCTGGCAGTTGCATAGAAGCTTTCGTCCAGCTTTTAGCCACACAATGCACACAGGACACTGTTCTCTATAAAGTATTATTCATTTATTTGCTTGAGTTGCTGCAGTATATTTACCCTATTTTTGTACAAACATAACTTCTAATCAGATGGTACCTTATGAAACACAGCTTGTCAAAGAGATCTGTCGGGTAACGCATGTGACCAGTTCCTGTGGATCATTGTAATTTAAGATGGGATATCCATCCGTATCTGATTGTTTTAACCTTTTTGCTGTAGATTTTAGTTTTCAAAGTATATACCCAGTGAGAAGTTCCTGCATCTTCTTAGGTCTTGCCTCTTTGAGTATATATTTTTTAAATTTATTTTTTGGGGCCTTGGCCTCTTTGCTGTGGTGGACTATAAGGGTCCCGTGGGGGTAATTTTCCCCACTCAAACCTTTTTTTTTTTTTTTCAATTTTGTACTTATATTATTTTGAAATTGTAAATATACACCCTCTCAAAATATATAAATTAAAAAAAAACCCTCAAGTTTTAATGATTCTTAGTTGTTTCTTTACTCAGTTTTAGTGTTTATAAGTTTCTCTCCACAATTCATTGCAAGTTCATATCGTCCACCTGCTCTTTCTTTTACACTCTCAATCTCTCTCCAACATTCTAACGCACAAAGTGCAAAGAGAGAATTTTAGAAGTCTTAGTTTGTAGTCAATTTTTTTGATTGTAAGCCGATACACAAGAAATTCTAATCCCCTTTTTTCTCTAATACTTGCTGGTTATGCAAAATTGAAATTTCTTTTAAAGAAAAAGAAAAAGAAAAGAAGTAGGATTTTGTGAAAATATTGTATATATAATGGTATTAATAATGAGGCATTCGTGCAACGATTTTTGGAAACATTGGAACTTGTTGTGTGTAATTATGAATGTACAAATGGAAGTATTATCTTTATCTCTATCATTGCTTCTTTGTCATGATTTAAGGTTGTCAATCGCTTTCCCTTTATATATAAAGGCAGCCAAAATTTTCAAAGCTGGTTTTACATTTTATTTTTATTTTTGTAGTCGGTAGCCTTCAGCAATTTTGTTTTGGATGTATTAGGAGAGTTTGTTGAGTGCATAACACAGAATTGTGAATGGGATAAAGATGGATGAAGGAAAGAAAATGGGATAACCCATGGGATATCATTACAATGTCCGTAGGATGGAGGCCTTTGGTTCTTGTGTAGTTATGTAATAGACTATTTTCTAATAGCTGTTTTGGTTGTATAGCAGCACCTAGGGTGTGCATTCTCTTATGGCAGAAATGGAAATCCACTTGGAATATTGTTTTTTCTTCGTGTAATGGTTCACTACGCCACAGACTCCTTGTCATGTCAACCTGTTGATTATTAGTAGCTATTTTTATTATTGTTTCTACCTCTTCCTGCTGATACAAGTAGTTGATGACAAGATCATTACCAAGACCACTTTTTAATGTCAGGAAGAATTGCATGCTGTCATTTGCTTGAATATATACTTTTTTAATTAGTGCATATGGTCAGAAAATGAGCTCCCTATTTGATGATCTCATAACGTTCCTATTGCTCCAGAAGTCTTGGTGGGAAATTAGCATTGTAGAATGGGATTAGATTTTATTGCTATTTTAGTTACAGCGCAGTCTTGAGTCTCTCACTGGATTGTGCTTAAATTGGTCATTCATGTGGAAATCATAATTTTCCTTCAGCTCTGGTGATCTTTCTTCAGCTGTGCGTTAGAATTTTTAAGAGATACTGCTGAAAGAATTCCCCAATGTAGGTGACAAGCTGACTTTAAATATGACTAATATGGTGAAATGCTTTTACTTTGATGCATTCTTACTTTGTTTTGATGCATACAAGTAAAGCAGAATTTTTTTTATGTCTTTCAATTATGTGTGACTAAAAAAAAAAAAAAGAAGAGAAAAACACTTAGGTTGTAGAAGGATTTAAATATTAAATTACACCCTCTTCAATAGCTTAAGCTTTTAGAGTAGATGCTGGTTAACAACTTAACGTAGGATCAGGACAGGGTAGGTACCGTGTTCAAACGAATCAAACCTCACCGTCACCCTGATTAAAAATTGAAACACGTGTTGGACCAAAAGGTCACACGTGAGGGGCGTGTTGAAGGATTTAAATATTTAAGTTAAACCCTATATAATAGCTTAAGCTTTTAAAGTAGATGGTGGTTAACATCAAGTCTTTCAAACTATTTCAGATTAAATAATTGTTTCAAGATTACAAGTATTCTCTTTCACAATTGGAGCATCTCTCGTTAGTGTATTTTTGTTGCAACAAAGTTTGTGCTACTTTTCATTGATGATATGGCCCTTGAAGCTTATTTTCTTTTTATAACTGAAAGATTACATTATTTTGTTCACTTGAGTTTTTCATCCGTTGGGTGGTTGTTGACTTCTGCTCCACAGAATTTGTACTTCATTTATGTCACTTATGATTTCACAAAATCAGTAGAGAAGTCCTTTGATTCATTATGAAAATTTATTTGATTTTTAATTTAATTTCTGTTTTCTTCAATCACAGGGTGATTCTCTAGTTGGAGGACTTGTTGATACCAGATTTCCTGAACTTCGATTGTGTAGCAGTTTGTAATATTTTTTTGTGTCTTTAGTGGCAGTCACGTGGAAGTGTAATGGCTGACGGTGGGCAACGGGAAAATGGGAGACATAGGCTGGATTACTATGATGGGGTTCACACTCCGGTAAGAATAAGACGTCAAATTATCATGAGAAAAAAGAGAAATTGTAAAGAACAAACAACAAAAAGAAGAAATAATCTGATCCTTGCTAGCTTTTATTATTATATTTATTTTAGTTTGCTATGAAGATCCATCTGAATAGAATACAAATGAAATAGTTTGCTTTCTCACTAATTTGTTATTGCAGTGGAACATGATGCCCCAGTACCAAATGAAGGAACAACAGAATGCCTTCCTTATGAATAAGAGGTTCATGAACATTATTTCTGAGAGGGATAATGCTATTGAAGAACGGAATAGAGCATTATCTGAAAAGAATGCGGCCTTGGATGAGCGAGATGCCGCAATCCAGCAGCGAGACTCAGCAATTGCTGAGCGGGAAAATGCCCTAAGGGAACGAGACAATGCCATTGCTGCCCTTCAATTCCAGGAAAGTACGATGGGCGGCCCATTGGGTTGTGGAATCCAACATGGAAGAAAGCGGATGCACCATCCGACAAACCATCAGACAAACCATCCTACTAATGTTGTTGAAGCTGCTTACAAGACTACAGAAGGACACATAACTGATGTCTTCCCATTATCAGCCATTTCATCTGAAACTGTTAAGTCACGGCAGGTAAAACGAACAAAGAAGAACAAGGCTGCGCCATCTAAGATATCAAATACACCAAGGAAGGGAAAGAAAGTCGGTGAGGATTTGAATAGGCAAGTCACTACTGATGGATCGAAGGCAGAGTGGGAAGCTCAGGATCTTGGCTTGATAAACCAGGTTAGTTTTGATGAGTCTACGATGCCAGTACCTGTTTGTTCATGCACAGGAGCACCTCGACCGTGCTACAGATGGGGGAATGGGGGGTGGCAGTCATCTTGTTGCACCACCACTCTGTCAGAATATCCATTGCCACAGATGCCGAACAAACGACATGCACGAATGGGTGGCCGAAAGATGAGCGGAAGCGTTTTTAGCAGATTGCTTAGTCGGCTGGCAGCAGATGGCCATGATCTGTCGATGCCTCTGGATCTGAAGAACTTCTGGGCCAAGCATGGGACAAATCGGTACATTACTATCAAGTAATTCACTGACAGTTATGTGGTATGAAATATGTTGTTCTGTTTGAGCCTCTAAGGGCCTAGAATTTACTTGATATTTTTTACCTAACCAAAATGTTGCTATAACTGGATGATAGGGAAAATGGAGCTGTAGCACAAAGGTAGTTTCCAAACTCCTGTGGTTGGCATAAAACTTTTCGTGATTCCACTAAATGGCCAACTCCATTCCCCATTGAAAGGGGAATATTGTGAACTGTTGGAATTTATAAACTCGATGGAATATAAATAGCTTGCTTGTGCATTTTTATTATTTATTTTTCAAAATGTACTGGGAAAGGGAAATTCCGAGGGTATAATGAGCAGCCTGGGACTCACAGTTCAGGAGGTCACTAGTTCGGCCACCCTCTGTTAGGGCTACTCACCATAGGATTTTTCAGATAATACTTAACAGATGACTTGGGGGATGTATGTTTGGAGAATATAGGTATAGGATTACCCCATCTAGTCACCATTATATATGTATAGGTGGAGAGTAAGGACTTATATCCCCATTAATCTATCTGCAGGTTGTTTATTTACTTGAATCAGTCAGGGTGCAGGTCTTAACAGAATTGATTGAATATACTGATATTTAGGTTCAAGCGGGACTCTAATATGCTATTCGAATTGATCTGTGAACTTTCATAAAGCTTATATTGTTATCTGTGGACGGAGCTAATTTGGCAGTAGATCTTAATTAGTTTGTGCGTAGTGTGTTTATTTAATCTCTGAGGGTTTATGGTGTACGCAATGGGATGGTTTAAATCCAATTATACCCAGGTATTTGACCATTTGGTAATTTGGTAAACACTAAAGAGATAGGACTTGAGCTGGGCTTGGCCCAAAAATTCAAAATACCAAACAGAGTCCTGGTCTAGAAACCATAGTTGTATAAGTTTTGCTTTTTTATGGCGGCATAAAGAAACAAATGAAAAAAAATCAGATATGTTCGGGTATTAGTATTTTTTGGTTTAAAAGTTTGCTATTAGGTAGGGGTGGCAATTTGTCTTCGTGGGTCGTGTTGGTGTTGTGTTGATGTAAGGGTATTATATTAAATAGGTAAATTCAAATCCAATTCATTTAATAATCGTGTCATGAATCTTCAACATTAATCTAATCCTTTTATTAGACAGATAAATGTGTTAACCTGTTTAATAATTTGTTTATTGAAACGAGACTTTTAATATTTATTCAAATACTAAATAATAGAAAAAAATTGTCATAATTATCCAAAATATTCAAAATAAAAAGAAAAATCATAAGGCAGACAAGGTTTATGTTGAAATGATTTAACTATTATGTAATTGGGTTTAAACAAGTAACATATTATATGGGTCGTATTCACGATTATAACATGTTGAGTTAAATAGGTCATAAACGGATTACACAGGTTGAATTTCTCAACTTTAATCCAACACGGATTACACAGGTTGAATTTCTCAACTTTAATCCAACACGGTTAAGCAAACAAGTTAATCGTGTCGATTTTTTTATGACCCAAACACGTTTGTGCCAAACCAAAAACATTTTAACCTTTTAAATTATTTTGTCATGCTTCAAATAATTTAATTTGAATAATAACAAAATTTTAAAATAAAAAGACAGTATGAAGTGTTTTAGAGAGATGGAAGATTCTAATATATTGAGGGATTTGTAAATATCATTGCATTGGAGAAGATTTTATAAGAATAGAGAGTAAATATTAGTAGGTCAGAGAAATTCTAGAAGAATAGATAGGCTGTAAATATATAGATATGTGGATGGAGAGTTCTAAAAATTTCTTGTGATGCATGTAAGGACAATGCCTATATATGGGTATGAGTCTCATTTGTAACAACAAAATCAACCTCCAAGATAACAAACAAAATCCAAACGGAGGACGGAGACAACACAGTTTTTCACTCATAAAATTGAAAAAGAAAAAAATATTCTTATTGAGAGTTTCCGTGTAATATGGAATTGGATATAGCCTATAGGGGAGGAAGTGAGACCAACCCAACCTAAATCGGATTAATCAGAAATAAATCAGAGACTATCTTGACATCAGTCTGTTAATATGGACAAATCTAGACCCAATGTAAGGGGTAAGAGGGTGAACCTGACCCAATAAACTTTGAATATTCAGCAAAAATATTGTAGAAAAAATAAAAATGCCATAATTTTTTTTACTAATTAGACTAAAATTACGAGTATTATTATTAGAAATTTACCAATTAAACTAATATTATGATTCCAAATCTATCCCTTAAAATTCTGTTAGATGTGCTTATCTAATGACGAGCTGTTCTTCAAATTCTGTTTAGGAGCTTATCTGATGCTTTTTGAAATTTCAATTCCTGATTAATTTTTTCCCCTCCCTATCATTTAATTTCTCTGTTCATATCTGCATCTCTTGTTCTTTAACCTTTTTCACATCTCCTATTCCGCGAATAACACAACACCATAACAGTATGAGCCACAAAAAAACCCATGTCATTGTCACACCTCCATTGTGGGTTTCCAATTTAGTTGTTTTCTTCCGTCTCCCCAACCCTAGGATTTTCCAACTCTTCATCATCAGCAGCACTGCCACTCTCTCATTAGGCATTGCCATGGTCGTCGAATGGGTTTATCACGGTCGCCACCGCCCTGGATACCACTGGATTCTCTACTATGCTCCCTCAATGCTCGCACTCCTTGTCCTCGTGTGGATCGTCTGCTTCGTTTCTTCCAACATTTTCACCAAAAAAGATCAACTTCTCTATCCCTTACCAATCCTAGATCACTCTGATTCAAACCACTCATCAAATCAACACCAGCAAGACGCAGATTCTCAGAATCACACGGATGACTTGAGTCACTTGACCATCGTACCTCTGCATGCAGGCTTGAGATCAAGTACTGCTCAGCTGGCAAGTGAAGTTAAAGATGATGATAAGTTTACACTCCATAGAGCATTTTCTTTCCCATTGTCTTACACTGTCTTTGATATTGGCAAGATCAAGCGTACAAAGAGTTTTTGATGATAATACCATCATTTCATTTGTTTTTTCTTTTTAAAATGATAAAAGCAAACACACATTTTTTTTTATTTTTTTTTTACCACATCCTAGCACCCCTCCTCTTTGAGAATGGGTGTATATATATATATATAAATAGGTCTATACCATATCATGCGCAATATAATTATGACTCAAGTAAGACCCGCTTGACATGCTTTTTATTTCTGTTGCTTTTGTTTTGGGCTGTTATAATGTCAATTTTGGTAACAAAAACATATTTGGTACGATATTGTTTTATTTTACACAATGCTAAAACACTTCGTGAACAATAACCTAAAACCAAAATACCAAAAAGATATACTTTTTTTTTATTTTGACAACCGTTTATAACCCAAAACTATAATTGTGCATGTTTTTATTTTCGACATTTTCACAGCAAAACATCATTCTCTTATAGTAAAAATATTATTTTACAAAATAACTAAAACAAAGCTCATGCCAAACGGACAGCAAGTAATCGGGTAATTGTATGCTGGAGAATGTATCAATACCGGCCTGAAAATTGGAATTGGAAGGGTACTACGGAAATAGAATTCCTACGAAGCCTATGAATGAGGTGAGTGGTCCAACAGGGTTGTAGACAAACTACAAAATTCTTCATGGTTTTGGCATGTGAGGTAGGTTGAAACATATAAGTAGATCCAAAACAACACCATTCTATTGTGTGGACCATATATGCTTGAAATATATCCCCCTAATTGTTCATCTACTGAGTAGTGAATACTGTCAACATTTTAGATGTACCTACCCTACCTACATAATTACCGAGTCCTACAGTCCAACAAATACTACAGGATGGACAGACCTTGATGGTAATATACCTACCTACCTAGTACCCAGGTACTAAATGGCGCGCGGACATACACACGTTAGGTTGGGTTTTTTAGCCTCATGATTAAGTTTCGAGTTGATAAATAAAGAATTCGTAATTCACCAATGAATTAGTCTTAAAAATTCAATCCGATCTAAAATTTATATATATAAAATATATATGTTCACTATCTATTATCATTATATTATTTTTAAGCTTTTCTTTATCATTATGTTATTTAAGTTTTTTTATTAACTTTTAACTCTAAAATACCTACTAACTTTTAACTATTACTGTCAGTTAAAAATTTATGTATTATGCCATTGTTAAAAATATTAATATTGGACTATTTGAAAAAAAAAAAACTAATTTGTAAGAGTAATCCAATTTGATTCATAAAATAATTTAATTTTGATCCACTTTGTAAAGTAATAGATCCAATTGAATTCAATTTTTACCAATTTACAGTAGGACTAGGTATTTTATCTAATTTGATCCGATCTGGTAACTGGTGTGTGAGGGCAAACGCCAAACGGTTAGGTCTGTGTAACAAACATGGGCTTTCAATTTCATATAGACCTAATCGTGTCACGGCATCCAAACCCAAACGGCTACGTTTCAGAATAAGACGACTCAAAGCATATCGTTTTCAAAGGGCGCGTGACGACAATGGGCTTTCAATTTCCTATTAATGGGTGTGTCATATGCGTAGCTCTAATCTGTGGGTCATATTCGCTTTATCTTTTAGTGGGCCCAAATTAACTTTTTTTTTTTTTTTTTTGTTGAAAACGTCCCAATGTGGAGAGGATAAGTTTCTGTCATTTGTACTTGAATTACTTAACAAATGCCACGTGCAACAACTATTTAATAAAACAGATAGGCTTCACTTTTCAGCAAGTCAAATTTATGACGTCATATTGTGGGACCCACTGCCACATTTATTTAGTCTCAGCCACCTCCACCTTTTTCTTCTAATTCAAGATTACTATAATCTGTAAGTAATGCCATTGCAGCCTACTTGAGAAGGGTTGTAACTTGTCCCTGTTTGGCAAGCGAGAAATTAAGTGGAGAGGAAAGAAAATAAGGGTAATGTGTTTATAATTTGGTTAGGAATCTGGGCAAAGGAAATGGAACATGGAAGGGAGTGGAATTTTTTGACTTGGGTTCATGAAATTCTTTCTTTTGAAAAAAAAAATGGTCGAAAAGTAAAAGCACAAATTCTCCACGGCACTGTGATACAGTGCAGTAGAATTTGTAGTTGTTCACACATGTAATTGTAAACAATTATACTACCTCCGTCCCGAATTAAATGTTATAATAGCACAGTATAATAAAAATTACTCCCTCCATTTCGAATTAAATATCGCATTTGATATTTGTGACTCATAAAAGTAGAAGCACAAATTCTGCCACGGCATTGTGATATAGTACAGTAGGATTTGTGATCGTTCACACGTAATTGTGAACAATTATACTACCTCCGTCCCGGATTAAATGTTATAACAACACCGTATAATAAAAATTGCTCCCTCCGTTTCGAATTAAATATCGCCTTTAATATTAATGACTCACATTTATACTGTGCTGTTATAAGAGTGAATCTCAACTAGGAAAAGGGATAATTATGTTTGGTTAGAAATAAGGGTAATGTGTTTATAATTTGGTTAGGAATCTGGGCAAAGGAAATGGAACATGGAAGAGAGTGGAATTTTTTGACTTGGGTTCATGAAATTCTTTCTTTTGAAAAAAAAAATGGTCGAAAAGTAAAAGCACAAATTCTCCACGGCACTGTGATACAGTGCAGTAGAATTTGTAGTTGTTCACACATGTAATTGTAAACAATTATACTACCTCCGTCCCAAATTAAATGTTATAATAGCACAGTATAATAAAAATTACTCCCTCCATTTCGAATTAAATATCGCATTTGATATTTGTGACTCATAAAAGTAGAAGCACAAATTCTGCCACGGCATCGTGATATAGTACAGTAGGATTTGTGATCGTTCACACATGTAATTGTGAACAATTATACTACCTCCGTCCTTGATTAAATGTTATAACAACACCGTATAATAAAAATTGCTCCCTCCGTTTCGAATTAAATATCGCCTTTAATATTAATGACTCACATTTATACTGTGCTGTTATAAGAGTGAATCTCAACTAGGAAAAGGGATAATTATGTTTGGATCAATGAGGCTGTGCATCAACATTGTGGTGATGCGGATTGTTGTTTGTATGGTTAGGGGGACAAAGAAGAAGAGATGTTTAGAGAAATTATTAAGCTGGTTTTGGATTAATTGTTATTTGGTGGTTCAGTTAAATCGAAAGTAATTTTTTTATTTTTTATTTTTAAATTATGATATTTAGACTAACACTCCATGTCAGCAATAATCTTAATTAATTTACTTTGATAAATAAGCCGACTCTCTCAACTTTAGATCATTAATAACCTTAATTATTTTATTTTGATAAATAAAATAAATTAGTCAGTCTAAATATCATGATTTTACCAACAAAAAAAAAATTAAAATCCCCCACCTCCTGTATTTTTAAATCATCTTCTTTTTTGTAATATATTACTCCGTATTACACTTTTAAAAATCTACTTTTCTTAATTAGAAAATTTGGATGGAAGTGAGCCATCTAATAATTTCTCATGTTTAAACTCCAACCGGTGGTATCAAAATGAATGAGTGCAATTGCTAGATAGCAACAAATAAAAAGCACACGTTATGATTAATTTAGATATCTCAATTTTAAAAAATATAAATTACACGAATCTCTCCTATAATTTTTTTTATAATTGCAGAGATCTTTCTTGTGATTTGAAAAATTACTCGAATCTTTCCTAAATATAAAACTATCTTACATGAACCTCCCCTCTTAGTACCGAACTATTAAATGAACTAACAAATCAGTCTAATGTACTTAATTGAGTGGATGACATCAGTAAAATCTGTCATTCATTGGCATTGGCTGTCACAAAAGAGAAGTCTGTGTAGGATAGTTTTATTTTTAAGGATCCGAGTAATTTCTCAAACCATAAAAAAGATCTTATAATTATGACAAATCATAAAAAAAAATCGATATAATTTACCTTTTTAAAAATAGAATACAATTTTTTGAACAATAGAAAAGACGAATTTAGTGCATTCACAGCCTTTTCTTTTCTATTAATAATACTTAATAAAGCAGGCCTAAAAAAAAAAAATTTCAAAAGAGATTAAGATTTTAGATAAGTTCGGTAGAGACTTTATTCTAATGTATGTTATAATTGTTATGACCATACCTACCAAATGCACGTTCAAAGCAGCTTTTCTAAATCAGACATGCGTGCACGTTGTGTGACACTTGTCAAACTAACCACATAATGTGTCCATAATTTTTTTCATTTGGTAAGAGAAATAATGTATAGGAGGAAGACATATATAACATTTTTTGAAAAAAATGTTAAAGAAGTTTTGCATTTAAATTATTATTATTTTGGGTTGAAAAATCACATGTGGATTGAATACATAGTTACCTGAGAATGTCTACACTGACACGTGTCGAAAATAAGAAATCTCAAAATTCATTTTTGTTTTTTCCGGAAGAGAATAAGATTGACAAAGCATGTATTTATACATTCATCATTTTTCATTAATTCATTTGTTTGGGAGTAAAATATCTTTCAACCAACTCTTTCATGTAAACTTTTATTTTTTTTTGACTTTTGACAAATGTCATGAAAATATTTTTTAATGTTTGATTTTTGAAAATGTTTTAAATGAAAATCGAAACTCTCTTACTTAATTTATTGATTACAAAATCTCTCTTATCAATATGTTAGTCTAACTATTTATATTCCAACATTTTCTTAATTAGTCGTTTTTTTAAAGAGTCTGTAAAACATTTTTAAAATTTTTTTATCAATCGTGAAATTTTCACGGAGGAAGTGAATGAGGGAAACTAAAGGCGAATTGGGTCAAACAAGAAGCAATAAGTGGTCCAATAAATTTTTGACACGTGTTCGACTTTTTTGGTTTCTTACCCAAACTCGAATCATATCATACCATCTCTTTTATCTTCCGACGTTTTGTTTGTTTACTCATCGTTCTCTCATTATGTTAGTACCAAATTATTTTTTCAATGGGATTTTAGAAATTAAAAAAATATATATATATAAACTTCTATTTAATTTGTCACTCACAAAACAGTTCTCCAGAAAAGTAAAAAATAAAAATTATTTTCAGAATATTATAAAAAAAAAAGTTA